TTTAGTCTGTTATTATTACTTAATCATTATTTATATTGGCCTCTGAAATTAGCATCCTAACAAAGTACTAGCAGCAAATAAAAAAACAGAATCAAAATGAGAGCAAGGTTCAGAGTGTTTGTGTATTTCTTTATGCTACTAGTAAGTCATACCATTAGACTTCACACAGAGCTATAGCATACCCCGGCCGTGAAAAGGGTGATCTAGAATGCTCGTCGGTATGCATTTTCGTTTCAGGCTAACTAGGTTAGTGATACAGAGGATTTCCATTTAACCAACAACATCTCCCATTAATCTCTTTGGTAGAGAGAGAATGAAATGTGGATTGGAGATGGAAGTTACTGAATATGTGTGTAGAGCTGAAATGTGTTCATCTGTCACTCTGACTTGAAGGGGTGACCTCTAGTTGCATATGACAGGGTCCTCTCTTCTGCCCTATAATGTTCAATATTTTGTTTATCACTCAAATGTAGATACATTATGCCCTTAGAAAGTTTGCAGATGATAGCTAGAATGCATGTATTTTATAAATAATCACTCAAAAAATCTTGATATCCTAGAAATGTTAAAATGAAATCAAAATACGAAATTTTAGAAACAAATCTAAAGTTCCTTATTTTTTTTACAAATCGATTAAACATAATAACAGAAGAGAACTCATTGACAAGAGTGTAAACAAATAAACAGGAAAATGAAAGAGAATGTTAATGACCAGAAGCACAATGAGCTAATAACCGCCTTAAAAAAAAAAAAAAGCAATCATATGCTACTTTGGTAGAAGTACATTATTTAGAAGAGGAAGGTAATAATAGTTGTACTATTTTCAAGAGTAGGGGTTACTGTATCACCTCTGGGCTCCCTAGTTTAAGCAAGACCCTGGCAAGACAACTGAAAAATCACAAAACACTAATTATATGAGATATAGTTGACTAATCTATAGCTGGAGTAGCCCGAGAGAGCACAGAACCTCCACCTCCCCTCCCTTTAACTCCTGAGTAATAGCAGAGAAAACTCTGAGGCAAAGACTGGTTGGAAATAAGCCAACTTTTTCCAGAGAAGACTTGGAGGTTCCACAAGGAGGGGTAGAATAGGTTATCAAAAAAAGTAAGAACCTCAACTTTTCGCTATTGAATCCGATTCTCAAGTGAATGGGATGCCATTAAAGTAAAAAAAAAAATTGGGAAACACTAAAGTAGCCAACATAACATTGTTCCTGTTGCTGTTACTTTGAAACTCCACTGGCACTGAAGTGTACCATTTGTAAGGATGAAATCTCACTCAGGAGGTAAAAACTTAAAGCATAATTAAAGTGGTCCAAGTAATGGAACCTCGTTATTGATATTGTCATTTAAAATTATAATTTATTTCTTTTAGAGCTTTATCAGAGATAGTAAAAATGAAATGAACATAAGCATCTTTGATCAACTAAATACAAAACAATAAGCTAAAGTTTTTCTCTCATTTAAGAATGGTTCTTTAGTATACCTTAAATCAATCTAGGAAAGAAAGTTCATGAATATGTTTTGATATTTCAAATTCCCATTCAGATGTGATTCTCTCACCTCTAAACTGTAAACATAGTTCTTTATACCACTGTATGACACTTGGTACATACAAACTAATATTATAATCTGTATATATGTCATGGTCAGTCAACTGATAGACCTTTTGTTACTGACTATGCCCCTGCCTTCAAGGATTACATTCTAGAGGACAGATAATTAATAAATATACAGACATAACAATAACTCTCAAGGGAAAGATGAAACATAGTAATATAGTGTACCACATATGGTGGAGGCTATTGTTTTACTTTGGTTGGTGAAGACCACTCTAAACTCAGACATACTTCCTTAGAGTGGCCTTTCTTAGCCACTCAAATAACAAACCACTCTTCTAGAGACCTAGGAGCCATGCAAAGACTTGGAGAAGAGTAGTCCAAGTGGAAGGAAAGACAAGTACAAAAACTCTTAAGACCAAAAGGAGCTTCGTGTGTTGTTGAGATTAACACACACACACACACACACACACACACACACACACACACTAAAACAGCCAATATGGCTTAGTATGGTGAACAAAGAGGAGAATAAAGGGAATAAAGAGTAAAGGTCAAGGGGACCAGATCACAGAGGATGCTGTCAGCCAAGTAAGGAATTCAGATTTTATTCAGTTTCAGTGAGAAGCAGTGGAAAGTTTCAAGTATGGACTAAGGTAAGGCTTTAAAGGATCACTCTGGCTACTCTATAAATGATAAGACTGTTGTGAGGCAAAAAACAGTGTCAGATACACCCACTGGGAGGCCACTGCAATAGTCAAGGGATGATGGTAGTCTGGACGAGTGATGAGAAATGGAGATGGCCAGAAGTCACTGGATTGGAAGTGGCTGGTACCTACACGATTTTACTGATGGACTATTTGTAAGGTATAAGCAACTAGGTGGATGTCTGTGCTACATAACGAGATGGTCATGTATTTTTCTAAGTATTCTGTGTGTTGGGAGTAAACAGACTTGCAAGCTGAAGCAAACAGTCATGTTATAGATTTGTAAAATGTGAATGCCTAACTGATATCTAAGTAGAGAAGTTTAATAAATAATCAGATCCATGAAGCCAGAGCTCAGTGACAAAGTCTGGGCTGGAGATGGAGATATGAGTATTGTCAGTGTATAAAATAGTCAAAGCCACGGGACTGAATGACACTACCCAAGGAAAGAATTAGGTTTTAAAAAAGAAAAGGGCGGCCCAGGACAGAGCTCTGGGGCACCTGAATATTAGCAGCTTGGTGGAATAAACGGCGACTGAGCAGTCAGCAGAAGGGAAGCCAGCAAAGGTACCGCCGAAGGAAGCCTAGAGATGAAAGTGTTTCAAGCATGAGGCTGCTGGAAGGCCGAGTCCGATGAGGACAGAGTGCAGGCACCATGTAGATGTAGCTCCCTGGCAACCTTAAGAAAAGGTCCATCAGTAAAGTGAGGATCTCACAAACCAACTGGATCATTTTAGCTCTACAATTAGGCATCTTTGTTAAGTTCAGTTTTGTATTTATCTTTTTATTTATTTATAAAACATAAAACATGTGGGACCACTTCCTCCAAAATCTTTGCTCATATATGCTCAAAAAGAAAGTAAACTGAATTAACAAATACTGCTTTAAGATCTCGTCAAAATATTTCAAGATCGTCTCCCTTAAATTGGGTAAATTAGTTATCCTCCAATTTCTAGGTTTGTTTCTGACACATTATTGCTCTTCTAGAAGAAACAATCACTTATTGTCAAAACAGTAAAAATAATTTCTTATTGTAGCAGATGATGTGACTTTCTATATTAAAAACTCAAAGTAACTTTAAAAAATAATTGTAACTATAATAGGCTGATTCAATGACTTCTAATGCCATTCCAATCTCCTTTAATGTATATAACTGTCTTCACCAAAAAGCAATTGAAAAACAATGGTTATTAAACTTTAATGTGAATAAGAATCACCTTGGCTGCTTATAAATGTAGATTATGGTGCGGGGGGAGGAGAGGTAAAGGGGTCTAATATTGCGGGTTAGAGGGAGGGTGGGTAAAGGGGATCAAATATATGGTAGCTGAAGGAAACTGGACTTTGGGTGGTAAACACACAATAGAATATGCAGATGTTAAATTATAATGTACACCTGAAAATTATATAATTATATTAACCAATGTTACCCTAATAACTTAATTAAAAATAATAATAATAAAATAAATGCAGATTATAAGGTGCCTCCAGGTGGGATTTGGGATATGAAATCAGGCTGTATTTTTTTTAGACACCTTTTTAAAAAGTTACCATGAAAATTCTGACACAGTGCATGATTCATGCTTTGGGAAATAACAGAAAATGGAAGTTTCTAGCAGAATAATGTGTACAATAACAAACCCTTGGAAAAATCATTTTACCTACCCCACCTCTCACCAAGTATTAGACTTGCTATTTCTTTTAGCTCTCATGGTCATAGATTTATTTTGATAACTTTCAAGCCCCTGTCATATGCCTAGTTAAATTTAAAGATTTCCAAAATCTCAATGTTTTCATCTAACATGTGTTCATGTATGCTTATGTAAATGCTTATATAATGCTAGATTGAAAATATTATACATCTGCACAGCAGCCTTACAAAACTAACACCATCGCCTTGCATATGCATTCATAAACTTAGAAAATTCTTTTAAAAAGTTAAGGTCTCAGACAAGGATTCACCTGCATTTAACTCGAATGTTTAAGTGAATGTGAAGAAGCTGATGTCAAAAGACCTACTCAGCAACTGAACTGGCACTGTATGTGCTTTTGAATGAGTATAAATAAACCCTCATTTATCATTTTCTGCTGAATTCACACCTAAATAAGTCTAGAAATTGCATTTCTAACAGGCTTCCCATTCACAATTTCATAAGAGCAGTTTCCTGATTATCTGGAAAACCCTTTAACATTTTCTCTAAAACTTATTCTAAGGGTGGGTAGAGTTTTAAGAAAAAGGGGAAATAAAACAAATGATCACTTTTAATATTGTAAGTGAAAGAATAGGTAAACCATAGTAGAAGCAAAAGAGGTTGAGAGAGAAGGGCAGTGATGATATAAAATTATTTGAAATAAGAAATGAAATCAAGAATTAAAAATAGAATTACATTTTCTGTTTGGCAATACACAAACAACACTAAGTGCACTTCATAAATTTTACTATTGTTGCTCTAAGTGATATTACCATAAATCACATTAGTAGCGTACTTGGCATTTTTTAAAAGCAAAAAGGATTGAGAGTGTCAATAAGTTTAAACAGCTCTGTTATCTCTGAAGAGAGTGGAAGAGAAATTATCACAAGCTTTTACCAGGTCTAAAAGCCCAGTTCTAACGCCCCCGCCACCATTGTCGCTGTCCCCCGCTGCCCCCCTCCCCTCCAGCTTCGGTGCAACGTACAGTGTCGTTTTGCCAGCAATCTATTAGGAAAATGTTCACTGTTGCTTTCTTGATGCTTTTACCTGATGTGCAAGGGGAGGTGGCTGTTTGCCCCTTTTTTCGTCGCGGACAGGGAAGAGAGACTTCAGCAGCTTCGGCATCTGCGGCACAAAGGATTTTACTGGATGCAAGTAGGAGGCCGCTAGACCACTAAATCCTGTCAAAAATATTAAAGGGGAAAGAGGTAAGACAAAAACAATTACATAGACATTTTCTTTACCGTAAATTTGCCAAATATCATTTGTAAGCAAATCTAACAACAACATAAATCAAAAAAGTAGCCTTAAAAATTAATATTAAAAAAACATAGCACCATTAGAGTTACACTCAAACACAGTGGTGTTTCCTTTTCTAATTAAATATAGCAGCAACTAGGGTACCTCTAAAATGTTCTAATATCCAGTGTTCCTTTTAGTATGCAAAAGGTAATCCAACCCCAGTCCTGGTGACTAACTGGCTCAAATACTAACTTCTATCTTTGAACAAAATGGGGTTTTTCATTTTTAAATCGCAGAGCTGATGACACACATGCACAGCATTCCATCTATACTTTAAACTCTTCAAAGTCGGGGACTATGTATTATTCAACTTTAATTTTCCATGCTATTTACTGCATGAAGATGATGAAACTGACCTTTCAAGGAGAGAGTCATGTTTTTAGTTGTTTTTTACAAGAGAGGGACAGATGTCCTAAAACGACCACATTCTTACCCGCTCTTAATTACCAAACACTGGGATCAGACATGCAAATAATGCCTATGATAGAAGATTTCCTCCGCTTAGTGAAGAAAACTAAATTTTTAGGAAAATGTAATCCAAGTCATAAATGATAAAACACTGTATCTTCACGATACATCTATTTTTTAAAAAAGCAAGAGAACTTGAGGAATTTGTATGTCACACTGCCTGAAGAGAAGTACACAGACACCCCCATATCTCTTCACGCTGACCCCTGAAATGACTCCAATTCTGAACCTATATACAGTTGTAAGGTTTCTACATTTTACATAAAGTAGTATATAGTAATTCTAAGTAAACTATGAAAAAGTAATGCTATTTTATAACCATGAGAGCAATAACTGAAAAAATAAAGCAAAGAGATAGCTATAATGTCAAGCGATATGTAAAAACTAAGTTTAAAAAGTTAAACAATATGTAAGAAAGACAAAAATAAGAAAGAAAAGCAAACAGAAAAAAAAGAGACAAACAGAAAATAAGATAAATTTAAGATGAATAAAGAGCCAGAAGATAGAATCATCTAAATGCTGAGAAAAAAATTAGGGACAATCTAGAGTTCTACATGTAGTTGAACTAACACTCTAGAGTGAGGATGACCTCTAATTAAATAAAGATCTAGCCAACAATTAATCCAAGGCTGCATATATCACAAAAAAGAGAGACAATCAGACATCCTGTGTCTCTTGAGGGAAGTACTCAAAACTACCCATTCGTTTATCCTACCTCGCACACCTCTCTCAAATTGGCCTGAATCTGACCAGAGCTGTAGATCTGCCCACCAATTTACAGAAAATAAAGGAGACAGAGAGAATCACATTTAAAGAACCTCATGGGGATGTAACCAGCAAAAATAAGAACGTACAGTCTACTGTACCAAAACCTGGTCTCTTCAACGATAACGTCAATGAAACAAATACACTGCGACGGAGAAAAAAGATAAAGAGGAGCCCATACATTCAACAGACTTAAGACACATATCGACTAATCACCATGTATAAAACTTGGGTTTGCATTCAAAATACATAAAAGATATTTTTGATCCAATTAGGAAAATCTAAACATCAACAAGATGTTTAATGATATTTAGAAATTAATTTTCATTTTTCTCAGGAGTAAACTGTTATTGTGGGTACTGCTTTAGAGATACATGTACAAATATTTATAGATAAAATAATACCTGGGATCTTCTTCAAAATCATCAAGATAGGGTGTGGAGAAGTAGTGGGAGTACAGCTAAATAAGACTAGTGATGAACTGATAATTTTGAAATCAGAAGGGGGTATTGAGGGCATGTCATATTTCTCTTTTTACTTTGTATGCTAGGTATTTTCCATAGTAAAAGGATTCTTCAGAGTGAGAGCAAAATAAAAACTTTAACATATAAAAGAAAGAGTTTGTCACTAAAAGATGGTTGCTAAAAGCACTTATGATTAATATAATTCACTAAAAAAAAAAACTATACTCAGAAGAATCGGGTGAGGTACAAGAAATAATAATGATCAAAGCGGTAAATATGTAAATCAAGGAAGCACTGATTATATAATGTATGAAGCAGCATGTATGACTTGAACAGAGATGCTAAGCAAAAGAAACCAAACACAAAAAGATTATGTATTGTATGATTCCATTTATATGAAATTGTAGAACAGGCAAAACTAATCTAAAATCAGAACACTGGCTGACTGCGGGGAGTAACTGGAGTCACATAAATCTTCTATATCTTGACTGGGGTGTAAGTTACATGGGTAAACACATTTGTCAAAACTCATTAAATATGACCCATAGTCAAGATAAAAGCAGTTAACAGAAATAGAACATGAGATGGTCCAGATACTGGATTTAGCAGATGAAAACTTTAAAGCAGCTTTTATACACAGGTCCAAAGATATAAAGAAGACTATGGCCTTAACAAATATACAGATAGGGAATACCAGCAGAGAAATTAAAACTATTTAAAAAAGAAGAAAGTGGAAATTCTAAAACTGAAAAGAATAACTGAAATAAAAAGTTACCTGGATATGCTAAACACAGGATTGTAAATGGCAAAAGCAATTATCCAATCAGAAGAAACAAGAATAAAATAAAAAGATTTTTTAAAAAGTTGAAAAAGAATAGTGCTTCTGTGACCTGGGCAATCAATATTAAGCAATCCAACACATGTATAATTAGATTATCAGAAGAATCAGAAAGAGAGAAAAGGACAGAGGAAAAAATTTAATGAACTAATAGCCGAACATTTCCCAAATTTGTTGAAAAACTTCAACTTACAGGTCCAATAACATGGATGAAACCCAAGCAAGATAAATACTAAGAAAACTATACCTAAGCATATCATTGTTTAACAAAAATGAGGAGGAGGTGGGGAAAGGGAAGGAGGAAGAGGGAGGGGAGGAGGGAAGGGGAGGAGGAGGAGCGAGCGGGAAGAGGAGGAGGAGAAGAAGAAAATTTTGAAAGCAAAGACACTTTACGTGTAGGGTAAAGGTGACAGAAATGATGGCTGCATTCTCATCAGAAAAGGAGTCTAAAAGATAATGTAACATCTTTGAAGTGCTAAAAGAAACAAACTATCAACCCAGAATTCTCTATCTAGAGAAAATATCCTTCAAAAAAAAGGTGAAATTAAGATATTCTCAAATAAAGAGATCATTCTGCTCTATGAGTACTGTACAATAAGAAATAATACAGGATATTTTTCAGGCTACAGAAATTACATCAGACGACTATAAGGTCTTCAGGAAGAATTGGATAGAAATAATAAACATAAAGGAAAATAGAAAAGATTATCTATAGTCTCTTCATTTCCTTAAAAGTGGCAATTTTAAAGTAAAAAAGAGTAACATTGTAAAATGGGTTCATAACATCTTTAAAAGATATAACAACAACAACACAAAATAAGGGGCAGGTGGGGAACAGGTAAATGGAATTACTCTGTTACAAGGCTCTTATATTTGTGCAGTAGGAAGTGATATTAATTTGTAGACTGTGATCAGTTAAGAATGTATGGTATGGTCCTTGAGAAGAGACTCTAATAAGTAAAAAATACAGGTATACCCAAAAGCCAAAAGAGGAAATAAAAAACACTAAAAAATATTTTTCAATTAAACCAAAAGAAGGCAAAGAGGAAGTCACAGTGAAGAAGAAAATAAAAAGGCCAAAGAGAAACCAACAGCAACATGGCAGACATAATAATATCAGATGTAAAAGAACTAAACATGTTGATTAAAAGGAAGAAGTTATCATATTAGACATTTTTAAAAAGCTAGCCCTAACTATGTGCTGTCTGTCTACAAGAAAATCACTTCTAATTTAAAGACAGATATAGGCTAAAATACAAAAGACTGAGAAAAAGATACACCATGCAAACAATAAGCCAAAGAAAAGCTGATGTGGCTGTATTAATGTCAAGCAAGACACATTTCAATGTATTACTAGAGATGTAAAGGGACACTTCACAATAAGAAATATCACTTCGTCAGGAAAAAATAACAACCCTAAATGTGTATATCCCAAATAGAGTTTCTAAGTGAATGATGCAAAAACTGATATAATTAACGGGGAAAGAGACAGTTTTCACAATCATCTTTGGAGATTCAATGCCCTCAGTGACTGATCGAACAAATTGAAAAAAAAAAATCAGTAAGGATACAGAAAATTTGAACAAGGTTATCAGCCACCTTGACATAACTGATATATCCAGAACCCTATGCCCCAAAACAGAATAGACATTCTTTTCAAGTGCACATAGAATGTTCACCAAGATAGAACAGTTTTAAAAAATTTCAAAAGACTGAAATATTAAAGAGTCTATTCTCTGATCATGATGAAATTAAATAAGGAATCAATAATAAACATACCCCGCAGATATATGAAAATGAATTAACATGCTCAATAACCCATGGCTCCAAGAATAAATCACAGGGAAATCAGAAGATATTTTGAATATAATAATAATGAAAGCACACATGCCAAAATCTGTGAAATGCAAAAAGAAATAACAGAAATCAATGAAACAGAAAATAATACCAAATGTTGGTTCTGTGAAGAAACTATGAAAACTGAAAACCTGTCTCAAAAGTATTTCAAGAGAAACAGAAAAAAAAAAAGTATATATAGGAGAATAAAAAGGACTATCAAAATAGATCCCATTAAGAGGGCAATAGAGAACACTAACATTTATGAAAATAAATTTAATAATTTAGATGAAATAGAAAATTCTCTGCAAAACATAACTTATGAAAACTGTTTCATAAGGAAATACAAAAAGTTAAATAATCCTACATTAAAGAAACTGAAGTCATAATTTTAAATCTTCCCAGAGAAAATTCCAGGCCCAGATAGTGTCACTGGCGAATCCTATCAAACATTTAAGGAAGACACAGTACCAAGTTTACATAAACCTTTTCAGAAAAAAAAAGATAAGGAAAAATTTCCCAAGTTATCTTACGAGGCCAACATAATCATGATACTAAAACCTAAGGAAGACATTATTACGAAAAAAGTACAGACATTCATCGTATTACGTATACACAAAAATCCTTAACGAGATATTAGCAAATGGAATCAAGCAAATATAAAGGATAACACATTAATGATCAAGGGATATTTATCACAGGAATTCAAGACAAATCCAACATTCGAAAATCAATATAACTCAACATGTTAAGACAAGAAAAGAGATAGACCAGGAGGACGGTGGTTACCTGGTAGGAAATCCTGATTTAAACTATTTCTGAAAGCTGCTCAAATTTCATAAGAGTGATTGACAACAAAAATATAACTTACCCGGATCAGGAGAATGGGTATTTTGTGGACAATCAGGGATGGGCGGGGCAACTGGAGCTACTCCTCTGGAAACTGCAATTTGAGACACATCCTGTTGACTTTCCCACCGGCCCTATTGGGGACAAAATTGGAAATTTTGATTCAAATCAATCATTTAACAAAAAAATACCTAAAGATATTTATGAAAAAAACTGCTATACATTACCAACACTTTATTCCCTTTACAGGACACGGTCAATTTGATTACGTAAGTATTTTTCCTCTTGTACTTTTCATCTTCTTTATAGTATTAATTTCCCTGGTAATAATACCTCACATTTCCATTTCCCTCTAGTTTACCATTTTTAGGCTCCTCAGTTCTAACCTAACATTCTTTCTACTACATCAGGTTGCTCCCACGAATGCGGATATATTAACACATTCCTTCTGAAATCCTCCCTTACGTTCTGCTTCTTACGCTGTTTCTGCTCTTCTGTCTCAAAATACTTTTTCACTCCAGATTCTCGTCTGAAACCCAGGAACAACTCTAGTGGTATCAGGGACCCTTCCTTCCTCTCCAGGAGTGTATTTCCCATCCATTCACATATCATTCATGAAAGGAAAAATTCTAGAACAGTATATTACCACAATTCTCATTTTAAATAGACAGTACAGATAAGTTCCAGTTAAGTCCAAACCAAGTGATCGCAAGTTCCCAATAATGAAAGCCTCTAAATTAACAAGTTTTATTATACTCTCAACTTATTTTGTACATTCCCATTAAAGAGATTTTACTGCAGAATACTAGAACAATGCCAGCCAAGTGATGGATTAATTTGCCATTCTAAAACTTGCAGTGAGCCATAAAAATAGTGATACCATCATAGCACTTTTAACATCAGTCCCATCTAGGAAAGGAATAAACCTCAGCCAAATGTTACATACAAGTAATGGAGGTGAGATGCAAATGTTTTAAATGCTTTAAGTTACCTTTGATCCTCTGATAATCACTCTGACTTCCTTTTCACTATAGTTAAATGGTATTATCTATTAGTTTAAGTTAGTATTTCACACATGAAGTGACCCTACCATTGACTTCGGTTTTCATTAGTAATCACCTGCAAAGCAAGTTCTTCACTGCTCCTGAAGATGGACTGAGGTGGAAAAGCCTCTTAGGTTTCAAACATGTATTGGAAACCTATCTGCTTTTAGCAGCGACCTAAGCACTGATCATAAAATCAATAATCCCTAAGTGATCTGGATGCTGTTTACCTTAGAGAACACTTTTCCATAAGAACTCTCTCAGCACTTGATATTTTAAAGGACAATATGATGTTTAGCATTGGAAGCAAGAAAACAAGACATGAAAAGATGATTTGGGAAACCACGAATTCTGAAATACCTCACTGAAAGAGCATTTGTGTTACTATGAATCACACACTGATTTACATACTGTAATGTTTCATTAATTTTTTTTGCATTTAAATTTAATTATCTGTCTGGGAAGCTGCAGCTCTGTGTGCTCTGGGACATCACAATCAGGTGGCTGAACACCAAGGTCAACACTTTGGAGCTCCTCAGAGGGAAAAAAGTCTCATGCTTTGTTTAGTGGTAAGCTCAACGCAAGGTTGTTTTTAAAACGACTTACTTAATTTGAGAATAAATATATTTTCATATTTTAGATTTTTCTTCCTTGTTTATTAGCATCTGACAGATTGGCACTCTGTCCCTTAAGAAAACTAAGGAGTTGATTTGGAGTCAGCACCCCAGCTGTTTGGTGTATAATGGTCCAATGACAAATAAAATAGGTATCACCTCTTCCCCAAGGCACACTTGGGGCTCTGCTAGCTTCCGAGTCATGGTTCCCTGCTCGCACTCCCACACACAATGTTACTACCAAATCAGAATGAAAGCTATAACTCTCTCCTGTAGTCAAATATCTCAAGTGAGGACATCTGAAAAGGCGCACACAGCGCTTACACCACCTTAGCCACATTGCTACCCCATCAGATCATAAAAAATGGAGACACATTTCGCTTCATCCATCTGCCTTAACCGTCATCTTAACCTTGAGGAATCTTGCACGTTAACTGTTCCCAGGTCTTGGCGACCAGCGACAAGAATAGGGAGTGTTTCAAATCACTCTGAGATAGAACAAGCTCTGCTACACAGGGAACAACAAATTTGGATGATAAACTGAGTACAACACTCCTCCATCCTCGCTCTGACACCCACAGATCTCTGGGGAAACATTCCACTGAAATCATGCCCCATTCTCTTGCCAGACATGAAACCTGTGGTTCAGGGTCTAGCTATACACACTGCCCCCTGGGGACAAGGCAATTAGTATCTTTCTAATTAATTTTATATGCTTGGCTGTTCCAGAGTTATTTTCCTTGTACTGAACTGTTGGGGTGGAGGGAGGAAGAAGCATCCCAGTTAATGGTACTTTAGAGGGAGATGAACTCAGGACAATGAATGAAAAGCACTTGGCCAGACACTGAACCTTTCTGCTCTCTTGAGCTCAGCTCTCAAAGTGAAAGAGTACGACTTTTAATTTATTTTTTTGTACTTCTATCATAGTAATCTATACCCCACCACCTGGAATCTAAAAAGATTAATCAGTGATCTGTTTCTAACATTCTGCCTGTCTATCAAACTTCAGAATCGGCCTAGATGAGCAGAGAGACGAGAGAAAACTGGCTTGGTTTTGGATTCCTCCACTAGCTTAATACATACTACTACATACTTAATACATATAAACAAAACTCTATTCAAGACAACAACGATGTCTAGCTAGCGCCATGCTTAAAGGCACAGGGAAACACAGGAGGCTCTCAGCTGACTTGAGGACTTGCGTTGGTCCCCTGTATGCCCTCAGTTTTCCTGTTGCTGCTCCTCTGCTAGACAGATTTTTTTGAATTTTCCATAAAAAGGTCTGTTTTTTATCAGGAAAAGTGACAAAGAGATAAATAAAGATAAGTGCAAGGACCGGTCCAGGCACTGAAGAAGTGCTTCACACTTGGCATCGGCCTTCACCAGGGCCAACTAACTGCAGTTTCCAGCAAGGGGACGTGACCAAAAAACACAGGCCACTTTCGTTAACTGGATATTCATTTAGACTTCTGGCTGCTTCTGATTGCATCAGAAACTCCCATCAGAAGATGACAAACACACTGTCTTACTAACATTAAAATATATAATTCCATCTAAAATGGTTTTAGAAATACCAATGCTTTTATGTTGACAGTGTTCCTCAATGCACAGCCAATTTCTAGATGGAAAAACAACCAGCTGAAAATAATTCTGCACCTACACGTGAGTCCATCTTGATAGACTGGTCATAAAAAGTTTGCTAAGTTTTCATTAAATCTATTTAAAAAACTGCCTTACAATCATGATGAAATATCCAGTAATGGTAAATAACAACATCACTGTGATTAGGGATAGTTATCAAGAGTGATTTCTTTTAGGCCCTAAGGTGAATTTAAAAGTTGGGAGCAGTTAATCAAATTCAATTTTGGTGGAGCTTAGTAAAACAATGCCAATTTTAATATGTAGCAAGCATCAATACATAAGGGAATGCAAAATATGGCTGGCCGATTCGAAGTGTTACAGGCCAAACTATGAGATTGTTTTTAGTCCCTTTAGCACTTCTTCTCACCTCCTGCAAAGCCCTAATCCTGTCAAACTCTCAGTTCCTGCCTCCCTGCCATACCCTTTAGTGTCACTTTGCTCCCAACTGACCACTCTTGGCCATAAAGTTAACTGAAAATTCGGAGAGACAGGGAGGGCTGAACCGGCTCTGTGGCATCTCCTTGCGTGTCATCCCAACTAAACGAACGTTCCATTATTGCACAGGGAAGACACGGCATGTCACATTTTTACTGAATAATTCTGATTTTGTAATCAAGACCAGAGGGAGAGACATACAGATTAGTGTAAACAGAGAACCCAGAAATAGGCCCGTGTAAGTTTACGAGGCAGACGTAACTAATGAAATATCTGAAATAATTTTCAATTATTTCAAAACACATTTTCTAGCATTTTAAGCATCATCAAGTCCAGGCTAAAATTATATTTCTGACTCAACTCTCTGGTACATTAAATACTTTCATGCAAAGAAACCAAGATGCTTCTGAGCGAAGCTCTGTGGTGTCGGAAAAGCAACAAGCACTTTTGCCATTTCTTTCACTTCTCTCCTCCTGTCCCATGCTTGAGACAAAGACATCTAACGAGGTCTCAAATATTTATTGGTATTATTTGGTTACTACGAATTAACTTCAAATCTTCACATTCCAGAGCTTTCTAAATTCAGTAAGATGTCTCTTTTGACAGATACTTTTACAGTCTTACAGACCCAGGTAGCAAAGAACATTAGAAAGGAATCATACATACTGACTACCAAAGTTATTTTTATACAAAAGGGTAAGAGCCAAAAAATTAGTACAGTGTCAAATTTAGTCACCTTATAAAAACATTTAAAAACTCATTCTGAAATTAAAGCAAAGCAAGCATATTAAGTTTTAGATAGTAGGATAGTACTTGTATCCTACTCATTAGGAAAACCTAATGGATTAATTACCTCTCCCTGGATCTCTGAAAACTGAAGAATACAGGAAGTCCCCAAAAGAAAAGAAAAGAAAAAAACATTAGTGAGGTTTTCCAAAACGATTTCTTCAATAATCTTTCCTTTAGGATCTGTGTGCAAATTGTAACAGATAAAGCAACTTGGAGACTTTCTCAGACTACTACATATAAGAGAACAAAAACTTCTAGGTACTTAAAAGGGTAGAGAATAAAGTTTTTACATTTTATTTTACTTTTAAATAGGTTATCTGTTCACAAGATCCAAAACCAAATAACAGAAAAAGCATACAGTGAGAAGTTGCCTACCTCTACCCCTGCCTGCTCAGATACCCACATATTTCCACCTTCTCCCTAGGCAGATAAGAAACAGTATTAGTTTCTCATACATCCTCATAGGGTGTGTTACGTATATGTAAGCAAATCTATAAATAGCCAGACATACTTCTCTCTTTTCTCCCTCCTTTTAGAAAACAAATGGCAGCATAGTGTTCTTTGTTTCATTAATAATCACTAAGTATATCCTGGTGATCTTTCCAAATAATTAGGAGTGGTTCCTAATTATTTTTACAGCTGCATTAGCATCCCATTTATTTATTTGGGTGTGTGCATGTGCATGGGGGAGTGAATAAAATGTACTTAACCAGACTAAACAAATGGACATTTAGATTGCTTCCAATCTTCTGCCATTATAATAAATAATGTCGCAGTGGACACCCTTGTATATATGTCATTTCACATATACGTAAGCACTAATGCTGTGTAAAGGGGTTTACTAGGATCTACAGAATCTGTATGGCCATTAGTTTAAACACTACCCAATTCCGAGGAACCTATTATGGGTAGTGTTTAAATAACACACTTTGAATTCAAGGCAATGCCATGTTTGAAAATGTTTGTTGTTTTATTTAAAAAGCCACAGGGAGGACCTCTGTTCCTTACTGCTGATAGGAAGGGAAATGTTTCTCTTCTAACTTGTAAGTAAATATAATTTTAAGAATATTTATTTTCCCTAAAAATCTTTCGAGATGTTCTGCTTTAGGCGATGATAAAACTCCTGTGGGGCCCCTCATCTAAAACTGGGGAGCCATTCCTTACTGAAGAGCACCCGGAATCAAATCCCCTTTGCTTAGTATTCTTTTCCCTTTGTTTTCTAGCATCACAGGTGTAATCCTCTATCACCTGAATTTCCTTATTCATTTAAACAGGTCCATTCATAAAAATCTGTTTTAGAACAGTTTTCCTCTACCTTTCCCCAAGTGAAAAGCAAAACATCTCTAATTTTGATATGTGAACATTCATTTAACCTGCAGATGTGGACACAGTGAGAAGTCAAGTGATGTCCACAGGACAGTGACAAGATGTTGGCTAAAGCCCAGTTGTCACCTTGTCACATTTCAGGGCTCATGGGTGCCAAGAGTTCAAAACAAGATAATATGATAGTTTCACTCTGAACTGGAGCAGAGCTAGTAACAGCAAGCTGGCACCTTCTGTTTTCCCTGACAATAATTCCATTGTTTGTCAGAAGGCAGGGGCTGCTGTGGTTAGGGAGGAGCAAGAGAAGCCAAATTTTGAAGAAGACTGCAAACTGCTGAAATGGGGAAAAAAGGGCATTTAAATTTTTTTTTGAAGTGTATGGCAACAACTGAAAATATATATTGCACTAGAGAGTACAGATCCATATTCTTGTTGCTGTGACAGCACCATGACACCAGTAGAATCTAAGAGAGTGGAAATCAGACTTTCCTCATCTTCGCTAAGTTACCCAGCCAAGCACTCCAAGAAATCAAATGACTAAAACAGGGAAAGTCCTGGTAGAGTAATAAAAATGTGTAATGTTATATTCACTTCTTTAAATGACATCCTGTTCACTGCACCCTAACCCTCCACAGAAAGTGCCCTGGGAAAGGTCTCCAACAAACTTCACTGTCACATCCAGGATAGTTTTTCAGTCCTCATTTTATGGTCTCTGAAGAACCTGGAAGGAGTACTTCTTAAACCCTCTGCCCACCAGTTTCCAAGTCACTCTCCCATCGGGTCTTCCTTGCTCTCTGAGGGCTCCTTTCAGTCGCTGGGGCCAGCTTCTGCTCCTGCCCTTGCCCCTAAGTACTATCATCAAGCCATCACATAGCTTCGCCTTTGTGATCTAATCCCTCCCACTATTTCAATGATGCCCTGAGCTCCCAAATCTGTTTTCAGCCCAGGCTTCCAGATGCTCGAACTGGCATAGATACCGTAATGTCAAAAATTGAACTATATCATTTTCTTTCCTCAGTCTGCCCCTCCTACAATTCATTTCTGTATATTGTCACCCAGAAACCCGTATGTCACCCTAGTCTCCTCCCTCGCTCAACCTGCTTCTTCATGCACACAGAATTCTGAGATTCTATCACCTAAATATATCTCAATCTCTCCTTGCCCCCCTCCCCACTGCTGAATCTTCTCCCTTACCTGGTCTCTCTACTCTCCAATTAAATTTTTCTTTCCACATTTCTGCATTGATAACTGCATACATTTGTATTATATATGTATTATTCTAATATAATTTTATGGACCACAGACAGGATAACAAGCGAGGTTTAGGTGAGCTGTTCAAAAAAACAACTTTCCAATTCAAATTTAAGCATGCTACTGCCCTGTTACTCTTTCAGTGGCTCCCACCCACCCTTATGACTCCTTGGCACATAATGTTAGAACTTCTAAAATAAGGGCCCCTTTCTCCAGGTTCTACCCCACAATCAGCCTCCAGTTTACTCATGCTGCATGTGCTGTCACGAATGTAGCAAGCTTTTTCATCATCCCTCCACGCTCTGTTCATGCTGCTTCTTCAACTCCTTCCCTGCCCTGGGTGGACTTTCACCATTAAGCTTACAGGGGGCTATTTCCTCCCTGCAGCCTCTCCTGATCCCTGCATAATGCACAGAGAAGTGTCTACTCCCCTCATTGGGCTCCTACTACCTAACACACTTCTATTATAGCATCTATGTTCCTTTATTCCATTTATTTGGATAAATGAAGAACAGTAATTTTCTTTCAAGTAGATACTATTATTTTTTGTTATTTTCTCCATTTAAACATAAGGAAACTGAGGAGAAATAGAAAAGTGAAGAAATTTTAGCCACTTCTTTTCAAGGAACTTACAAGTGAGGATTTGGGTTAGAAATATTTCCAAACACACATACTCACACACACAGAGAAAATTATGATTTTCTTCTCTTATAAATAGGTTTTCCTTAAAATATTTCCTTTACTTACATTTAAAAATAATGACACGATCAATTTTCTGAAAACTCTGCTTTGTTCAGGTAATTGTAACCTATGCTATGTTTATCAAGTTAGTCAAACCTATCGTTTTTAAGATCTAGGTTACCAGTAGTTTGCCTGAAGTAATAGGATATATACACATACATATATATGTATTTCAGGCAAACTGCTAGTAACTTAGATCTTAAAAATGAATGTTTATCAATTTTACTGTTCTTAAGTACTTGAGTTTTTATAAGGAAAATTTCAAATGTAAACAAAACAGTGTAGCATAATAGAAAAAGTAGTATAATAAATCCCCTTTAGCTTTAATAATTATCATTAGGCAGCCAATCTTTTATCTATACCCCTAACTCCTCCCCCTGACCCAAGACTATTTTAAAACAATTCCCTGATATCAGACCATTTTATACAACACTGTTCACTTTTAACCTCCTCAAGGACTAAGGGGAGGGGGGAGGTAGATGGGGTAAAAGGGGTCAAATATGTGGTGACATTAAAGAATTAAAAAATTAAAAAAAAAAAGATATCAGTACAGAGCACGTTACTACATTTGACAATATCAACATCTGGCCAATTTACTCAAAAAAATCAGGCATGAAACTGATATGTGACATCTAGTCATGACAATTTTGAGTGTGATTCCTTTAATAATAATAAATTATCTATGCTTAATACTCTTAAGTTAGGAAAACTATATTAACAAGTAAATAAATTCCAGCTAACAAAATATGTTCCCTTTTTTTCTTCTTCTAACAAATAATATTAACTTTTAGGTATAATCTTCTTATTCCTCACACATTTTCAATCATCACATCAATATTTTTCCTTTTCTGACATAAGCAGGAGGAATATTCTAAATAGAAATATGATCTTCAGCAACAAAATTGTTTTTTAACCTCCAAAAAGTAGAGTAATAAGAAGGTCTATTAAATTGTATTCTACCTGGCAGATGAAAAGAAATGAACTCTAAACACATTCCAATACATTTCACGTGTATTGAAGAATAGGAAAAATTCTGGCCTGCAAAACTAGCATGTGATATCTGAGAGAAGGAAAGGTGAATGGGAAGTAGATCTAAGGCTGACGGAAAATAAATACTTACCTTGTTGCTGCCTAGACTGTAGGAGGGAATGAGATCTTGTCGGCTGCCAGACAACTGAAGAAACAAAGAAGGAGATCAGTCCTTTATGTGTGAAAGTACATACATCCCCGGTCCCGGAAATAAGACTTTGAAAACCGAATCAACAGAATGTTAAAGTTGGATGGTAGCAGAGAGACTGTTGAGACCAAAATTACAAACTAGACTAGTGGCCTTTGGGACACTGTAAGGCACAATTTTTTTTTTAATTGAATTGGTTATTGACAATTTTAAGATGGGAAGTTTGTATAAGATCAGATATCCAGTTTACACTGAGGCAACAACCAAGTGGGCCTAAATAAGAGATAATCCATTTGTTCACCTCTTTCCACGTAAAGCACACTAGGTTATTGGTTTTCTTACGATGTCCTATCTTATGACTCCTTTATTCACAGCAAATGTATACACACAAACTATTTATTTTAAACACAGGATTCTAAATGCCAAATCATCAGTACATATATCAGTACATCTTAATGTAAGGAATTCTCAAAAAGATATTTATGTTGAAAAAGTAATATTTCCTAATGTCTGAGAATGTTCCCAATCTTTCAGTCTTGAAACAGAGATGTCATTCAGTCACTCAATGGCCACATGTGCCCTCCAATCTGATACCCTTCCTACCTCTCACTACTGTCTCCCGAGAGAACACTAAGGCTAAGGGTTGGCTGCTCTTTGTTACGATGCTTCTGCTTGCTTCTACTATATTTTCACTTGGTGTAAAGTTCAGACAAAGGTGTTAATACTTCTCATATCCACATCTTGATCAAAAGTAAGAGAAGGAGAGATAAATCACAGGGCCACAAGCATATTTCTTTGCGAAGAATTATTTGTGTGTTTAAGATGCATCTACTATATATACATATATGTTTCGAAAACAACAACGATCTTAAGACACTGTTATGAAACAAACCTAACTTATTTTACTCATTTATACTACGCTGCATAGCCTGTAAGCAATTGAGTTTGTGTATACCTAAGCCCAGAAAATTCAAATGGCTTGCCCTAAGCACCTGGCTACTGTTGTTTTAGTTCGAACTCTCTCTCAACACCTACTCACTGAACACATACGGTCACTATGCTAGGCAGTTCGGACAAGGAAGTGATATCCAAGATGACATTGAAAGGACAGAGAAGAGCTATTCAAGGAAAGAAGAGAAGAGAAAGGAGAAAACAAACAGAGCAGGAAATGGGGAGCCCATGCGCTCACTCTGTTCACATTTGGAGAACTGATGCTCCTCCTACTCAGCTTCCCTTTTCCTGTCAACTGTTCCTTCACTGCAACTTCCTGTCAGTCAGAAAATAGAGGAAAAATACATGTTAGAGACACACCACCAGAGCAATATTAACAAAAACTAGCTTTGAGTTACCATCTATACATACACATTCTTAGTTCTTTAAATGATGGCTATTACTTCACATGACAGAATGATCCAATTATAATCACTGTGGAATATTCAAAGTTAATGATTTAGCTGACAGATTACCTAGATCATTCTCTTCTTCATCTACTAATGACCCCTTTCTAGCCGGCCAAAGGTTAATCCCAGGAGAAGCAGCGTGAAAATCAGACCATTCTCTCTTATTTTTCATTAGTATCTTTGTTTTTTTTTGTTTTTTTTTTTTTAAAAGTCTCAATATTGCTAGGTAAAAAGAGATTTATGGTTTCTCTAAGGATTAGGGTAACAGCTAGCATTTGTATAATCCCTTCTAGAGACCATTCTCAGGCTGCAGCAGGCTTATCCAGCTAAGCAAACAGGGCCCGCTGTGCCTCATTGCTGCATATTTCTTCAGTAACATTACTGCCTAGAATGAAGGAAGAGTTAAATATTTTCTTCCATTACTTCAAGGCAACTAGATACCATTTAGTGTCTTGGAAAAAGGAACTTTCCAAATACAGGTTCGGTATCTTCAAAGACTTAACTGGCAGGTTTAAGCTAAATTAATATGTTCCACTTAAACAGACACTTCAAAAATTTAGACCTAACAATACTGTGAATTACAGAAAGTAAATCACAGAATCAGGCTAGGTTAGCGCCACTGCTACCAGCTCTGTTGGCTGACCTGGCGCAGACGATCTAAAGTGAGAAGGTTCTCCACAGCCAGTACACTTCTGAGGTATTTTTCAATATAAGCCTCTGAGTCAGCAGAAGCTGTGTTTTCAACGTTAGCTGCCATTCTTGCTAATGTTTCTCGTTCCTCCACTCCCTGGGCATCCTGGAGAATGAAAAGTTGTATGTTAAAATTAAGTACGTTGCAGAAGAAAACATTATAAAAGCTTCTTGATTTATACAAACACACACACACACATACATACACACACAGAGTACTGAACTAACAAATGGGATGTATTCCAAAATTCCATTTTAAAGTCAACTTCTGGAACTCAAAATGCAGTTCTCACAGAAATCATGGTATAAATGGTGGTTAGGTTGTCTTGAAAGGCTAAACACAGCATAGCTGTGCATAGAAATGTGCATAGAAACAGCACATTCTCAACAAAACTGTTCTCTATTTCCAATGAAAACAAAAACATTACTGGTTAGAAAGGATTGGAGGTCTAGCTGGAAATACAATCTCCAGGACTTCGGGAACATATCTTGAGGGACAAGAGACAGGAATGAGGAGCTGGGTGACAGCTAGATAAGGGTGGAATCCAAATAACCCTCGTAGGAGGCAGACAGGGGTATAGAAGGGCTGAGTTTCAACATTTTAACTAAGCAGCCTACCAGAGACTACATATTCAAAATGTGGCAGCTTCTAAAACTGGTCTTGATCCTCAACTCTTAAGTGGCAGAGGCCAAAGGCGCAGAGCCAATCAAGAAGAGAATTATCTAGGCAATTTTTCATTCCCTGTGCTTTCGGGTAGAGCCTAACCCTGCTCGTGTGCCATGAGCAGCCCATGAATATAAATGCGATATTCACAAGCCAGGGAGGGACTTTGATAATTATTTCACACAAACTTGGGTCATAACAAATTACTCTTCTCAGGGAAAATCAGATACTTTATTTATTTGTGAATATGTTATATCTATATGCCACTGCATCTTAAGATGTCATCAACTTTAAGAAAAACATCATTTTATCACCCCTACAGAGAAAAAAACCCTGCCAATTAATTTTAAGATATCAATTTTAAGATGCGTTCTAACTTCAAAAATAATTTTAAAAATTTAAATGGACATTAGAACAGATAAAATATGGAAGAATTTGGAAGATGGCAAAATTTTCGTCTCCTATAGTAATTCATCTGAGCCTTTTAATACCTCTGAAATCATCCTCATTTTGTAGATGAGGAAAGAGGAAGGCCACATAATTAGCAAAAGAGGTAAGACTAGAACTCAGGTCTCCTGACTCCTGACGGAGTTGTTACATATTCTTTTTACCACTCAACACGGAATACTTTCTGGTGTCTGAAGGGACAGACGTTATCCTGATTTTCGAAAAAAGGGGAAACTTGAGTTTTAAGAAATGTATATATCCATGTTACCCGCACACCCATCAAGATGTAAAAATTTCATGACCTCCGGAAGTTCATTTATGAGCTTCACGGTCAATCCCTATCCTTCCTCAAGGCAAGATTTCTTTGACCATAGATTAGTTTCACTTGTTCTAGAATTTCTAACAAATGGAATCATACTCTTTGGTGTCTAGCTTCTTTCACTCAGCGTAATGATTTTGAGATTTGTCAATACAGTTCATTTCTTTGTATAGCTGAGTAAGATTCCACAGTATGGATATACCACGATTCATTCATCCATTCCTCTGTTGATTGATGTTTGGACTGTTTCCAGTTTTAGCTTATTTTGAATTAAGCGGCTATGAATATTCCTGTGCGAGTCTGTATAGACATATGCTTTTATTTCTCTCCGTAAAGGACTTAGGATTACTGGGTCGTGGGGTAGGTATATATCTTCTAAAGTGTTTGTATCATTTATACTCCCACTAACATTCCAGTTGCTTAAAAAAAAGTCTCCTGTCGCTTTCTGGCCTTTGACCACTTCTTTTTGCCACAAGCCCTCAAAGCTTCTGTAATATGGAACACAAAGAACTTTTGGGGGCTTTTTCACAATGAAGCCTAGCTTCTTAAAGGAAATTTTTGTTTTTTAAAAAAATAAACTAAATATAGTCCTTTCACTGTAAGCTTTAAGTCTCACTTTTCCTTTTTCTCTACCGTCAGGATTTGATAATGTAAAAATAACGCTTGCCAACTGAGACGTTTAGCCAGTTTTAATAGGTAGCCCAATCACATGAGGCTCTGTTCATCTTTCAGCTGATTTCCCCTCATTTCTTCCCTTTGAAAACAATAGAATAAATGCACTTTTAAAGAGGGCAAGAATTATAAATGGGAGGGGAGTAGGGGAGGGATGAAGAGAACAAAGGAAAAACTGAAGATGGTTCACAGAGCTGTCGCTATGTGCACTATATACTGACTGCAGCTGTTTCTCAACTGCATTCAAACCATTTAGTGTTAAGATCTGAAACAACTGGAAAAACATATAAAACATTCAGATACAGAGAATAAACAGTTAAGTCTCTATTTAAACACATAAGGATACAAAGAGTAATCTATTATAGACCCAAGATTTTGCAGGCAGTCTAACTCTGAAATTTTTCAGCAGGCTCCAAATTAAATAGTTTAACAGTTAATATTTACTATGTAAGTCTGACACTTTGAAGATCCAGGAAATAACTAGTTACTATTTGACATTATTTGAGAGGAAAACGTGTTTTTGCAATATAAGCAATCTAAAACAAAGCCTAAGAACTGTGTAACCTTTTTACTCTTCTAAAAATTGATCTCTGTATTAAAATACATATTGTCCATCTATTGTTCAAATACTCAACAGGATCAATCAACAAGCACATGTGAGCCCTTAAATGAAGAGAGTGAGGCAGATGCTGACCGTGTGGTTAGGAGGAAGTATGCACTCCCAGGCTCACATTCCATTTCCCAGCTCCGAGGAAGGCACAGTCTGCACCTCCTCACTCATGCTGCGCTTGCGGAGAGAGACTGTGGCAGAGAGACTGCGCTTTCTCTTTTCCATGGTCCTTTTCTTAGGCCCACCCTCATTTCTCCTACCCCTGCAGGAAGGCCTCTAATACCAACAGTGCCAGTGCCCAGGTGAATAAATGTGTCTAAATCAGCAATTAAATATTGGGAAGCAAGTATAAACTGCATCCTCCAATAAGCTTCTGTCAGGGATGTTTTAAGCTCCCTTTGTTTAATTCCTGTGACTATCTTGCTTAGTTCATAAAGAGAAATAATAATAAAATAATAATAGTAACTATAATAATAATAGCAATTACAATTTATAGTTTATCATGTACACCACCATTTATATACACTGTCTCATTGAATCCTGTTCGGAAGGTATTACTACCCTCACCTGATAAATGAAAAACTCGGGGCTCAGAGTAACCTAAGCAAGTTCACTTCAGTTATTGGTGAAAGAAACAAGATTTCTGTTTGACTCCAAAATGAAACCCTAAATCTCTACGCTATGCCATGTTGCCTAGCTTTGAGGATTACGATACTATTATCTCTTTTACTTTTTTTTTAAAATTTATTATTTATTAAAGTATAGTTGACATACGACATTAGATTAGTTTCAGGTGTACAACATAGTGATTTGGCATTTATATAACTTACAATGTGATCACCACAATAAGTCTAGTAACAATCTGTCACCATTCAAAGTTATTACAACATTATTGATTATATTCCCTGTGCTGTACATTACATCCCTGTGACTTCATTTATTTTGTAACTGGAAGTTTGTACCTTTTGTTCTTCTTCATCTTCTGAGTGAAAAGGTGTTGATTTGCTTCTCAAGAGAATGTTCTTTAGCAAAATACTAAAACCAGAAACTTTAAAGCCATAAGTACATTTTACTATGAGTCAAGTTAGGATTAGGAAATGTCTCTATAAATCTATAGCATTTCCCTAAATATACATTTCCATTTAATACATATTTCTTGGGTAGGTGACTTTTCAGGGAGTTAGCTGTTAGCTCTAATTACATGTTTATTTTCAGTAAATTCAAATTATATATGATCCTTCACCTCTGGAATATTGGAGACAATTTCAAAAGTCACTCCACAGCCAGGAATAGAACTTCGATGAGACATCTTTTTTAGGAGACTCTGAGCAAAACCCTAGAAAAAAACAAAACAGAAGATACAGTTTCCCACCTCAAAAACCGAGTTTACATTAACAGAGAGACAGCATAAAGGACCCTGCATTCACTCTAACCAAAGAAAAACAGAGCATATTTCAATATAAACAAGCTGGAATCCAAATCACTAAATACAGGTTCGTCTTAGTGCATAAAACCAATTTTAGACACCTGTGTATCCAAAGGTGTGCAGCGGGTGACAGGTCCTATATGTGAAAAGCACAGACCCCCAACTCTGGGAACTGACACTAGGCATCTGGTTCGACTCTGCTTAAAGTCTACAGCGATAAGGCTGTTGACTCCTGCACAATGAAATGACCTTCTAACTAAGATGTAAGCAAGGACTGGTGACTCTTACACTTTTTTGTTGTTTGTTTTGCAGCACGATGGACATCTTGTACCATGAATATTGACAAGTTTAGGCATTAAATTCTTGACCAAAGCAGGATCGTTATGAAGAATGATTTAAGAGTGCATGGTCATTGTTTATGCTGACTGTGCTCTTTGCACAGTTAAGAATTGAACTGTTGAATTAATGCATAGATGACTCATTTGAAGATGCTGCTAAGACTGAACATCCTGTAGAGGTTGAAGAGAGCAGGGATGAGGGCAGAATATAATTGGTGAATACAGATAAGAGGAAAGAATATTAAACTAACACTGAACCTTTTTCTCCATGCAAGAGGAAAGCAGGAAATACGTAAAAACGCCCAGAGAAAACAGAAAAATCAAGCTGTTTGGTCTCAGAAATACATATTTTCACAAACTATTTAATAATTTCTTTCCTATTCAATAATCTTTAGTTAATTTAAAAAACGATTTTAGCCTCTTAGAATGAAAAGAGACCATTTATTTCATCCCTTCGCCCTCGACTTGAGCCTTGCAGTGTTGAGCCAGTGCCAGTCACGCTGGTCCAAGTGCAGCTACAGCTTATTTTCAGTGTGTGTGTAGAGGGGGTGGGCGGCCGGGTGGAGGGGCGGGGCGCTGTTGCTATCACCCTTTCTTGTCTTCTATTTGGATAGAATTACTGAAGCTGACTTGCATGTATTAGGATCAGAACGCAGTCCCTGTTCTTGCTATAAAAAAGTCATTTTTAGAATTATCTGAAACTGGGAGGGAAACTGCCATGCCCTAAAATACTAACATTTCATTCAGTATCAATTTGATACTATGATACTTTCAAATCATTTCAATGGAGGGAAATGCAGCAACTCCTTGTCTCTATAACAACAAATGAAAAAAATAAAAATAAAAATAAAAACAAAACAAAAAAGCAGAAGAAACTTGGTAACTCCACAATGCACCTGTTCTGTTAAAAATTCCATGGCGCTGGTACCAGGACAGGCTCAGTGCCTGGGTAAGGCCAGTTGTACCAGGTCAGCCTCAGTGCCTGGCAACCAGAACCTCAAGTTCTGAAATAGCAAATAACTTTTCAAAACGCTCCCCAGGAGCAACATGTCTTTTTCAATTCCTTAAAGACTTCCGAGAAAAAGGAGACTGGGAGAAGAGTGAATGGGAGACACACCACACACATCTCTGGCTAACCCGGTGACCTGGATTTTATTGATGTTGGATTGCCAAGCTAAAGAGCTGCAATTTTAACAGCATTACCGCCAGTCTTCATTTCAAAGATTGATATCAGTGTGACATTTAGAACTAAAGATTAATTTTTAGGGGTGGAGATTACATCTAGGACTCTGTCAACCATGACTGTGCTCTTTTAAATGAAAAGATTTATTTTCCTCTGTCTTGGTTTTAGTCAGTGTATTGAGAAGGCCTCCAAAAAGTGAGTACAGATAGTTTAAAAAAATCCCTAGAATCAACCTCCCAAATTCTATATTTGCAAAACCAATAACAGAAATGGTTCACATCTTTACCTAGAAGTTTTCTAGTAAACCTCTTCACAGGGCACAAGGTCCTTCATAATCTAGCTGCAACTATGTTGACAGCCACAGCCTTGGCCTCTGCAGCACGCACAGTCACGCTATGCTCCTGAAGGTCCCCAAGCCTGCCACGCCCTTTCCACCCTCACTACCTCTGCACCTTATTTCCTCCTCTCCATGCAACAGCCAACGACTCCTTTCTGCCTGCCAAACTTCCCTGTGTGTGAAAGAGCAGCTCACAAGCTGCCGTGCTCTCTGAAGCCTGCCCTGACTTCCTCGGCCCGAACTCTCCAATCTCTGACCTGCAATCTTCTAGCGGGTGACGAGCACCTGCATTACAGCACTATCACTACAGAAAAGAGTCCCTCTTTATACATCTACATATGCCGATGGACACTGGCTTTTTAAGGACACAGACCTTTCTTACTCATCTTTTTATCCCAAGCCTTAACAGAGCATACGTTCCAAATTTATCAGTGAATTAGCAGAGATGACTGAAAGAAAAGAAAGGTATTGAAAGTGAAGAGTAAGAAGCAAACGAGAGCTAACTGCAGTGAACATTGTCATCTTGTAGGACCCAGATGAAAAGTCAAAACCAAAAACAGTGAACTTCACCTTGACAGGGCTCTCTCTGTGGCACCCGAAAGAATGGCTGTAATTCGTGAAAATACAGTAAGAAAGATTCAGTGTAACAACTGAATACGGTCTAGGAAGAAGTCAAGATGACATGTTCCAGGACTGAAGCAAGCACGGTTACAGGACAGGGACAGTCACCTTGAAAAGAAAAGCCTGATGCTTCACAGAGCCTGTTGGGACAGGAGGCCAGAGCAATCATTCCACAGCCCTGCCGTCGTGTCGGACCTGTGGTTAAAGTCATTTCTTCAGACAGAATTAATGACTCACCTGCCTACCATGAACATTGACACAAATTCGTTTGCGTAATACTAGCTGCATGTCAGCCGGATGGCTGAGCTGGACCGTCACCCGCACAATCAGAAACACTCGCTCATCTGCAGGTGTGCCTCTACTGAGCTGAGGACAATTGTGTACTGCAGAGTCCCAAGAGGCTTCCGCTTTCACCTGCAGAGAAGAAAGAAAGAACATACTTTTCCTTCTCTTTCTAAAAACAAAAAGCCTCACGAGGAAACATCTTGGCTTGCGCTGAAGTGGCACACACCAGTCATGAATGCAGCTCTACTAGAGCTACCCTGAGAGGCTGTGCGACATGAGGACGTGGCCTGCCTCACCCTAGTCTGGGAAGTGGAGAGCAGAATGTTCCTGGCTGGCTGGCTGGCTTTTAAATTATTCTGAAAAATGCTCGAACATAAAAAATTAAAAAAATGCAAATTCAGTATAATGAACTCTGCATATCTTTTATCTAGATTCATCAACTGTTAACATTTGCCACTTTTCCTTTTGCTACTTTCTCTCAACACATACGCACACAGTATATTATTGTGGGGGCGTTTTGCTGAATTTTTTCTTTCCTGAATCTCTTTAGAGTAAGTTACAGACACATAACTCTATCTCCCTAAATACTTCAGCAAGTATCTTCTAAGAGCAAGGATATTCTCTGACTTAACCATAGGGCAATTATCATATTCAGGAGATTTAATATCGATACAATACTATTCTATAATATAGAGTCCATATTCAATTTTTTAACTGTTTTGATCTAAGATCACAAATTGCATTTAGTTCTCATGTCCCTTTAGTCCACTTTAATCTGGAATAGTTCCCCGACCTTTCTTTACAGCTCATGACACTGACTTACTAAAAAAGGGTACAGGCCCTCTGTTTCACAGTGTGCCACAGTTGGGTTTGTCTGATTGTTTTCCCACTGTTTGATTCAGGTTTTGCAACTTAGGCACACTGCTAAGTAATGTGCCCTTCAAAGCATCATTATCAGCTTTCCTTTAAAAATCTTTAAAAATTTTTCCAATATACTCAAAATTAAAAAATAAGTTTCCATTGTATACTCATCACTCAGATTCGAACATTATTTTTTGCCACACTGGCTTCACCTATTTCCGCCCCCCCCCTTTTAAAAAAGTCTTTACCGAAGAATTTCAAAGCAAATTGCAAGCATGGTGTCATTATACCTCTATGCATTCAGTAGCATTTCCCAAGAGAGTGGACCACTGCTGATCTAAACTATGAATACTAACAGAGAACCTTTACCAGGAGAGGAAGTAAGACAGTAAACAGACATAATCTGATGGTCCACGCCTTCTGGAAGTGGTTCCATTCTTTCTGGAAGTCATAATGAAAGTTTTCATTTATGTTTCTTGAGAAATATAAGTTTTGAAATGATGACTTCTCTCTTTCAAAAGGCTCAGGGAAAGGTTAAAGAAACTATTTTTCATCCAATCCTCCTGAGTTGTGCTTTATTTACCTCTCCATCATGCTGTTTTACAATCTGCAGTTCAAAGAACTCGTCTTCTTCTTCCCCCGTAAGGGTAGCATCCCACCCACCAGCTTCTGGGTCATCAAGATTATCCTGAGAGCTGAAATCATCAGCTAAAAGCAAAGAAGTTCCATTAAATACAGAGATCATTTTAAAGGATAACACCTACCAGTTAAATTTCAATGTGCTTAGTGTTAAATTCTTTTGCCTCAAATTTCATTTGTTTTGGGCTCTAAAATCTTACATGACATGGATGATGACCATCAAACAGTTCACAGGTATCAGAGCTGGAAAGTGCCTCAAGAGCTTATCTTAACCCAATCTCCTACCTTTATGCCTTATTTTACATGGAAGGCAACTGAAGCTAAGATACCCAAGAGGTTACTCAAGGTCAGCCCATAAACATTAATGAAAAGATTGTAACCCAAATTTCCTATCTCTTAGTGCACTGAAGAAACAAGAGTGAGAGTGATTCCAATTACCCGACAGTTAAATTCAACTAAAGAATCAATTGGCTACAGGAACTAGAAACTGGAGAGATGCGCCGGTGGCCCTTTAATTATTCAGTTCCAAGCCTGCCCCCACCCTGCTCCCCGTCCAACATAAGCTTGTGAGTAGACCTCAAAAATAGCTTTTCTAGTATGTGGGCTTTGGGTGGACCAAGAATGAGAATAAGACTGAATAAGGTCCTGATCACATCCAGGAATATCTATACTAACAGGTCTTCTTTAAGCTTATTCTTTTCCATTTTCTTGTGTGTGTGCGCGCGCACACACACACACACACACACACACACACCCCTTTCACTGATCCAGAATCCAACATAAAACTAAGCCAGAGTCATCCTCAGTCTCCAAGGCTCAAGAGAGTAAGACAGGAGAGCGTACAGTGGCAATACATTAAACCCCATCGGGTGGACAGTGAAAGCGGCAAAGTATTATTTCCTAACTCTGTGTCCATATAAAAATCTTCCATGTGTCTAAATAAGCTAAGTAGCTCAAGATGCTAAATACTTCAGATATTATAACTCTCTTCCAGCTAGATGGAAGAAAACCCCTGAGGACAACCAATCTTATCCATTTAGGATGGTTAATTTTAATATATGGTTCTTCTGCAGATGTTTTTGGAATTAACTGCTGGCTTTTAACTTATTTTTAGCTCTTTAATCTACCTTTTCATTTTTATTTTCCCTCCTCACGCAGAGTATATGTAAGATGTAGTCACATCCAAAATATTTTACATGAGGGGGAAAAAGTCAGGAAAAAAATATGACAGTTATTTTAAAAATAGGTAATGTGGGGATGAATGGCACGAAAAGTCAAAGAAAAAGTGAGAAATTTCTTAGATAAAGCTAAGAAAACACCAGATAAAATGAAACATGCTACATAAGCAATCACTAGTTATTAGTCCTTTCCAGAGGAAAGTCTTTTCCTAAGAATGAAAGAAAATACTTTAAACACATGAAAACATTACTACCATCCGAAAATGATGAAAGAACAAAGCACGCGCACAGCAGTATGGGTTGCAGAATGAAAGGTGAGGACAACCATGATGAAACATACATATTACTGTTACAGAAATAGAATTCTTACAGAAAGTTCATTCTTTCTCAAGAGTCTCTTGGCACACATAAAATGGACCCTAACCTTAGGCGTACAGAACTGCCTACCTGCACACTTTGTTAGAATCTAGGTATTATCCGGACACCAAGTCATCAGAGTTAAGACTTCAGAAGGCACCTCATAACTTACCATTTAAGTCAAGGAATATAACAGGAATGTGTGTTTCCATCCCAGGAACTGGGGTCCTAAAATATAATGAACAAATAGCATCTCAAATAAAGCAGACATTCTCAGCAGCATGTACTTCGGGATACGGCCTTAATACACATTCAGAGCTACTGCAGGTCAAGCCAATAACTCTGCTATTGGGTTTGCTATAATTTCATATCAGAGATGCCACAAAGACTGACTGTAAGTGCTGCTTCTTTTCGCTGGTGCACTCGTGTGTAATTATCAAATGCACTGAAACTAAAACTCAGTCTTATAAGACATATATACCTGTTTATAAATGCAGCTCCCTTGTTTAAAGTTATTTTCTTATAAAATTATATACCTAAGAAGCCCATATGGCTTAATTTACTATTTTCAATTTCTATAAAGCAGCACCGAACATTTGCTGACAGTACAGTTTTAGCCAGCACCAAAACCAAAAACTCCTGGAGATGCAATTTTATGATGACCGAATGGTCTTTTAAGGGAATGACCCAAGTAATTAACATATTAACTATTCTTTTTAAATGCTAAGTGCACTGGTACTAAATATTGATTTAGATTCTCAGAAATCTTAATTGCTTGGGCCAATAACAATATTATTTAATAAAACACAGTTTTGGGCTATAGTTATTCCAACTCATGAAAAAATTTAACACTTCCTCTAATTCAAACAACTTTTTCCCATATGCTGTAATGAGTCTTCCATTAACTGAAGCGCAGGCAAATTCATACAGACAACAGTCGGTTGGTGAGCATTTGGAACTTCAGAAGACACACAGCGGCATTCTTACCACTCTGCTGGAGCCCCTGGAATGCCACTGCCCGCAGAGGGGACCATGACCGCGTTCCTCTCCTCAGTCAGCGTCAGCCTCATCTCTAGAAGTTGAGCTTCACGGTCAGCATCATCCTCTGTTTTATCTGGAACATCAGGAATGAAGGTCAAATACAGATATCTCACTTGCTACTTACACTTTTCTCCTGTGTAAAGACAAGATTTGCTTATATTTCACTTATTGGTTGATGAGGGTTCGCTAGAAACTTATTACTTCCCTAACAAGTGATAGAAAATTCACAATAAAAAACAATAAGCTAGAGAGGTCGGTGTACTCTTTACAGAGAGGCCATCATGGAAAGCTTACAGGGGAAGAGCACATGAATGACTTCTTTCAGAGTCAGCGGATTCAAGTGCTTTTGGACAAGAAATCTAGAATTTAGCATCTTACTTAAGTTATTTTTGAGGGACAATGTTTACTCTGTTTACTGTATTTTCTCTTTGTTGGGGCTGGGGGAACCTCTGCACAGACAACATTACAACTAGATAAATGTTCTTCTGAAAGGATATGACACAAATAAGTAATACCCCTATGCTCTTGCCAACCTCATTACTGATGTGTTCATCTACTTTTAATTTATGTGGCTGCAAATAGGGATTAATTATGCACTAACTTGGGGGGAGGGAAGTATTCAACTTGCTTTTCCTACCATGTTTACTGACAAGCTTTTGCAGTTGGTGATCTAAGTACTCCTGACGTTTTGTTAATGCATTTAGCCATTTTCTACGCAGTCTCTCTAAATCCCGATCCTGGAAGAAAACAAGGGAAATGACAGTAAATATAACGTCAAGACAATATATCTGAAACCAAGGCTCTACCTTACTTAACTCTAATATGCTTTGAAAATGCAAAGCATTATACATTAACGTCTTTACTACAACCAATAGTTGATTATAACCGTTAATGAGAACAGAGGCTTTCAGAAATGAAAGCATTATTGTTCTAGGGTAAGACCATCTCTGAAAAGGCATTCTCTGATATACAGAACCCGTTTTACTTCTTTTGGCTCAAAAGGCAGAACTCTGGCACCAGCAACTAAGATATTCCATGAGGTCTCTGCTGAATGAAAATCATAGATACTGCTCAATAATCTAAATTTATATCCCTTAGAACTATCATAAGAATTCTTCAAATTTCGTCACTACAGCCTTCAACATGTTTCACTAGTCTGAACAAACAGCATGTAAATGCTTCTCTTCTTTGTTCTGGTAGAGTTTTATTTTAGTGGTGGGAAGGGATGGGGGCATTATCAACTGATGAACAATTTACCAGTCAACACCTGACTGTACACTAATCTTACCTCATTTCCTTTTGTAATAAAGTTACAAGACTAGGTGGATCAGTGGAATGCTGTGGATATGGTGTGTATCTGGATTTCACTAAAGCACTTAACCAAATAGCTCATGACATTCTTGTGGACAAGATGGAGAAATGTGAAATGAATCTATTTGAATGAAATCAGAAATGACTGAAATAGCACATCCAAAGAATAGTGATTAATGAAATAATGTCAGCTTAAAAGAAGTCTCTACTGTTGCACCATAGGACTTTGTATTTAACCCTCTCTGATACAATATTTTTATCAGTGACTTATAGGAAGGCAGACATCTTTATCAAATTAGAATGATGCAAAACCAGGAGAGTGACTACACTGGATGACATAATCAGGATCCAAAGAGCTCTAAGAGTCCTAACAGGACCAACGAGATAAAACTTAACAGACATAAACACAATCTTGCAGATTAGGAAAAGGGGCAGAGGGGGAGGGGGTGTAAAATCAAACCTGTATTACTCCATAAAGTGGAGAAAAAAAGACCTGGCTTAAAATAAGGAAATACCTAGGGGGTATGGCTTGCCTGAAGCTCAGTATGAGACATTTCTTTCAGGGAAAGGAGTGGGTGACTCCACTCAGGGACAGGAAAAGCAAGAAAGAGAATGTGAAGAACTTGATGGGTAGGGAACTGGATGGGGAGCTCCAGGTTCGGAAAACGAGAGCAGTCAGAAATGATTTCCTACAAAAAAGAGATTTTACTTTATGGTCTATGAAATACTAGTTCCCTACTCTATTTTAATTTGAAAAAGCAATACTTGAATCTTTCATCAGGCTTATTTTATGAGGCTAACAGGCATTTCATTACCTGGTAGCTGTCCATGTCCTCCTCTTCCTCCTAAAAGAAAAAATATATTATGCAGAACCGAAACAATTATCCAAGAATCAGGGTATAATAAACAACGTGAATCTTTTCCCATACTTTCTATTTTCTAATTTATGAATATACTGTTTAATGACTCCCACCTACACTCACCCTCACTCTTGGTTTCATCATTTTTCAGGAAGTTAGAGTAAAACCTTGAGCTTCTCAGAGCAAAGTGAAGAACACTCATTTGACCTTTTCGGGAACCAGTACAATACGTTCCCTGCTGGGTTTACAGTCCCACACCCCAGGGGAAATCAAACACCTGCCAGCAAATAGTCTTTACAAGCCAGTAGGGGGTTTCTGCGGAGGGGTGGGAGACGGAGGAGGTTAATCACTAGTAGGCACCGAGGAGTTTCAGGAGGCTGATGTTTTAACTCTCAGTTTGCCATGTATCAGGGCAAAACCAACAGTCGGGTGTTGTGATTCCATGCAAATGCAAATACAGAGAAGGGGGAAAAAGTCATCAAAGGAAAACAAAAGAAATACTGAAAGAATTGTTTGTGGAAGGCAGGTTCTGAAAGACTCTTGTCTGTTTGGGTCTTTCAACAAGAACAGAAAAGGCACAGAAACTTACATGAAAGGTCTCCTGTGTCTTGGGGGATCTGAGTGCTCTAACTTTTACACATCCAATGCCAACAGACAATATACATTCTTCCATCAGTGGTAAAGTCCCAGATTCCTGCACAGACTTCACCTCCACTTGGACTCGCCGGGACTGCCCCTGCATCACAGACAATTTTAAGAGTTTCTTAAAATCAGTTTGAGTCACAAAAATTTGGTTTAGAGAGACCCCTACAGGCTGATGCTGGGACAAGTGTTTAACTTGGAGACACTGTCATTATAGCTTAAATGTTAAATAGTAAACTACAAATTGAAAAACTAATGAGAAAAATTATTTACCTTTTAAGCAAGTAGAAAGACATAGAACGAATATGTGTTTTATGTATTTTTTCAATAAAAATGAGCATTAAAACATTGTAACAAAAGAAACACAAATAGCTAGACAATAAAAAATGTTCAACTTACTAATAATCAAAGTATAGATTAAAATAAGCATGATACATATTTATTTTCACGTATTAAACTAGCAATTATCTTTTAAAAAGGCAATTTCCAATACTGCCCAAAGTTTATGAAACAGACAATTACATACACTATTGGTGGGAATATATAAATTGGTAAAGCTTTCTGCAGAGCAATTTGCCTTAAAAATATAGGTTTCCCTTGACCCAGAAATTCAACTTTCTAGGAATCTGGTCTAAGTAAATAGTCATGTACATAGATAAAGAATTATAAAACAATGTTAAGAAGGACAAGAAACTATTTACAAATTATTATTAATAACTGATTAAACTTTAGTATATATAAAATATTGCAGTCATTAAAATACAGCTGTAGAAAAATATACATACTGTTTTAAGCTAAAGAGTATGGTGACAGATGTTAACCATACTTTAAAAAAAACGAGCAGATCACCAAACCCAGCATATATAGTATCATCTACTTTAAAAAATAAGCAATTAGAGTAGAAATTAGAATGATTACTACTATTCTGGATTCACTGCTCTAATCCCCAAATAATTTGAAACCAAGCAGCAAAATAAAGAATTGATCAGAAAGAACCTATTCCTTCTTAAGCACATTTTCAGAATAAATACTGTGTGACTCTGTATATTTATAATAAAGTAATATTTTTTAAATCCCAGTCGTTCCAAATTACTGACTTCAAAATTGGTTTATAAATTCTAGAAATATAAAATAGAATCTGAAAAATGGAGTTTGAAGATATAATTTCAAATCAGTTATTCTCCCTCTTCCATCACATTCTAATTCTAATGCTTGACATTATCAGAAAAATCAACTTAGGCAGCGATTTATCCTATCAAACTAGACTGGAAACGATGGACTACAGATGTCTTTTGATTTAATACTTTCCAAGGACTGCGCATCAGATATTTTCTGGAAAGAGTACCTAAGAAAACATTTTAATTGTTTAAAATAGTTTAATCATTTCAATTAGCTACTTTTGTTTATTTATTTTGCCTAAGACAGAAAGTGGCCTATTTTAAACGTGTGTCCAAATGTGAAATGTGAAATACATATATTCTGGGGAGGATTCAAGGAAGAAAAGCAGGGGGAAGATGCAAGAATAGCTTAATGTTCCATAGAAAAAGCTTTGAAGAGTATACTTAAATGATTAGATTGAACTTCTTGTAACTACTGATATTTGACCATTTTTTAACTACAAAATAAGAAATTTTATGGTTAACCTAATCAGTTTTCCTCTGTCACTTTTCCTATTCAAGAACAATAGGTTCCAATTTTGAAGTATATTGAATTCAATGAGTCTACCATCCAGGCCTTCTATGACCTAACTGCCATGTGCTTCTATAACGTCTCCCGTTACTGCTCTCCAGCTCTTCCTACATGTTACTTTCTACCTAAACTTACCTAATTCTAACCTCTGCATCTTTAGATATAAAAATCCTTTCTAGCCTTTGCATAATTCTTTCAACATCCAGGTTAAGAAACATCCCTCAAAAAGGTCTTTCCCAATAAACCCAACATTTCTTTGAACACTTAGGTAGCAAAGGTTGTCAGAAATATGACAAATACTTAAATATTCAATTTACACTAAACCACAGAAAATTATCTGGTCTTACTTTCCAGGAGATGAATTTCTAAGGCATCCAAAAACGATATATATAGTTTTAACAGATGTTCAGAAAAAGATGTTTTTCAGAACCTTAAGAATCCTCTTTTATGTGTGTGTATCTCATGCTATAATTTAAACTAATTTCCTTTTGCTTTTAGTTCCTTGACCATATGTGAATGAATTTGCTAAAATTCATCTTCTGGGGTCACAGAATAAGTGCTTATCATCCTCCCCCTACAAAAACATTCAGGAACTGAAATATTTAAGCACATTTTCTTTTTCCTTTAACTTTTTCTCATATTTTGCTTTGAATGATTTCAACATTCATTTTCTAGAGCTATTCTAATATTTTACTATTGTTCTAAAATATAGAAACTATCATAGGATGCACTACTCCACTAAATGTTGAATTAAAGTAGAGCAAAAAGAGTATTTCCAAATCTATTATGTAAATTCTATCAAGATATTCTCTCTCATCGTTAGTTGTCAGCACAGACACTTTCCAGATTGTCATCTGCCTGGAGTTGAGTGACGATTCTCACATATTTCTCTGCCATATTGAATTCTGGCAGGTATTCATATCTACCTAGCTGCATTTATCTTACACCTCCTGTGGTATCATAAAAAAATATTTGGTCTTTGTCCTCAGTTCCTGGCAGAGAGCTCCTAAAACTCTTGGAATTTCCTGAGTGATAAAAAGTTACGGTGTCTTTTGTTATGTTAATCAGGCCACTTTGGGACCACATCTAAGAATGGGAGCTGGTTACCAAGAGAGCCCACCAGGTGGTTAGTGGGCTGGAATTTTCCCACCTATACCCTAACCTCAGGAGAGAAGAGAAGAGTTGGAGGTTGAACCAATTGTCAACAGCCAGTGATTTAAGCACTCAAGCCTGTATTATGAAGCTGTTATAAAAACCCAAAAGGACTGGGTTCAGAGAGCTTTGAAGTTGAACATGTGGAGATTTGAGAAGAGTGGTGTGCCAGGAAAAGGCATGGAAGCTTTGCACCCTTTCCCCATCACTTGCC